GCCCAAGTGACTTATAACATGGATGGAAAAATGGTCTAATACTGAAGTAGACCCAAACTTAATATTATTACCAACGATTAATACCAAAATATGGTAGTTAGTAATAATTAAAAGTGAATAAACATGTTATAATAAAAAAAAGCTATAATTATTATTTAAAATATCAATCAAAATGGTGGGATCCATACTTTAATGACCCAAGATAGGTCCCAAATAGCTTGTTCAAAATAGGTTCTCAAGTCCCAGAGACACATAAAATTAAAATGTGTTCAAAATTAAAGGGAAACCAAAACAAGCTACCTTAATAAGTCATAATGCTTAAAATTGACCTAAGGATCTAAAATTCCGTGATATTTTAATAATGAATTTATGAGTTAATAATATGCTAAATCCAACTTTAATACATGCTATTAAGAATGTATAATTATAACAATAATTTATGAATATACGTAGCATGCTTGAATTTGCATATTAATATATTATTAACCCATATATCTTAAATAAATTGTAACATTTGAGGCAATTTAATATGCTCCTTAACATTAAATTAAAATTCAAATAGCAAACTAAAACTTAATATTGCTCCAAATTGAATGATAATTTAATTATGAATTTAATGCCAAAATTAAATGGAAACTAAAGGGCATTAAAATTCCAAATTAAGCAATTATCATACATTTACCATTTGCTAAAATAATATACAATATTAATTAAGATAATATAATTAAATATGGTAATTTAAAACTAAATAATTACCATTTACCATAATTAATATGTAATATTAAATAAAGCAAATATTAATATGGTAAATAAATATATATGATAATTGTAATTATAATTACCTTAATGACCAAACTTAACTTAATGCACGGTCAATTAATCAAAGCCGAAACACCCATCAGCGTCCATCTTCTTCCAAAGGCAGACATGCAACAGCATCTCAGGCAGGCCAGAACTTTCCTTATCCTCACAGAATTTCCAACGCCATAATTGGCCTTACGGACTCTGCAAAGGAAAACCAAATCGAAGTCGCCGCCGCAGAAGGTGGAAGAGAGAGAGGACGTCAAGATACTTGTGTCGCCGGAATTTTTTTATTATTGGCCAGGACGGAGACTTCTTCCCCTTCTCTACTGCAGCCCAATGAAGATGAAGCAGCAACCGGGATGCAACCATGGAAGCCGCGAACAGCATCCTACGGTGCCCCTACGATTTAATGACGCACTGTCTGACCGCCACTATGGCAACCAACCTTTTTTCAAAGATGAAGTCGGTCGCCACCCCACTGCGCCTACGACACTGTCTCTACGCCAACGTTGATAAAAACGTAGTAGACAACGCTATCTGATGACTGATTTCCAGTGAACTCCTTTGCCACAAGAGAGCTCTACAATTTGTTACCATCGAACCGTATTCCTCCGGCCAAAATTTCATGGCGGTGGATTTCAAAAACACGGCAACAACATAGCAACAACAATCAATCAAGTCCATAAGACAATATTTCGAAAAACAACATATATTAAAATCAATCTATGATATTAATTAATGTTGATTTTTAGGCAAAACAATCAACCAGGCAGAGATTGATAAAGGCTCTTGATACCAAATGTTAGATATACAATAGTCTAACTATAATAAACCATAGTATACGAGAAACCTGACCTCGTATGATAGCGGAAGCGTAGCCGTGTTGATCTCCAGCCATAGTTGATGTTCCTGTTGTGTTGCCTCTTAACGGTAGACCGTTAGCCATGTTTTGCCTCAGACCTGACTCAGAACCCTAGATGGTGTATTGGTATCTACTGAGTGGTCTGAGTACCGTAACTGAATGTGCTAACAACAACCATCCTGTATCCCATCAATACAGGATTATATTAGGCACAGAGTTTGGTTGACTAACAACTACTAGTTATTAAGTCCAACCACACCACTTAATAAGCCTAGTCAACTTGCACCACTTAATTAAGGCCCTAATATATAACATCAATATATATTATTAGGGAAAATCTTACAGCATGGTCATGATGTGACTGAATGCTTCAAGCTGAAAAACAAGCAGGAGAGAGAAAAGAAGTCCGCTGAAGCTAGTGTTGTTGAAAGTGATTCAGATGGTGATGTGTAGTTATCTTTTAGCTCCGGTGAGAAACGGAGTGAAACGGAGTGGATTTTGGACTCTGGTTGTACATTCCACATGTGTCCCCCACAAAGATTGGTTCATTTCTCTGGAACCAGTTGATGGTGGAGTTGTCTTGTTGGGTAATGATACCCAATGCAAGGTTAGTGGAATTGGAAGTGTTCAGATTAAAACTCATGATAACGTTGTCAGGACTCTTACCAATGTCCGATATATTCCTGATTTGAAACGCAATCTGATATCATTCGCCACCTTGGAATCTCTGGGGTGCAAGTACACAGCTGAAGGTGGAGTTATAAAGGTCATCAAAGGCTCTTTTGTTCTCATGAAAGCTTCTCGTTCTGGAAGCTTGTACGTCTTGCATGGCAGTACTGTGATAGGTTCAGTTGCGGTATCCTCATCAATGTCTGATGCATCTACTAGCACCGCACCTCTCGTCGAGCCACAACGAGAGTATTCCATTGCTATGGATCGTCCTAGGAGGACAATTAAAAAACCTGCTAGGTACGCTAGTGATGATGAAACCAACATGGTTGCTTATGCTCTTTCAGTCACACAGGAAGTTGATGGTGATTCATCCTGCTATTTTGAGGCTCTTCCTGTTGCTAAGTTCAAGTAGTGTTTGAGTTTAGTCGACTGTTCCAGTTGTTAATATCCACAGTGGATTTGATCCAAGGTGGAGATTGTTAGGAAATAACATAATGTGTGTAGTGGCTCAAATCAGTGGATACTACTTCATCCTCAATCATCCGCATCGCGTGCTACATATCCACGTTCCTTTGCACATTATCCTATATTTGCTCTCATTCTTTGTAATTGACGCATTTGTCTCTCCCTTTACTGTATAAATATGCTATTTCTTTTGTAATGTAAACACAGCAATTGAATGCATCAATATTGAATTCATTCCCTTTCCTTCTTTTTGTCCCCACGTAGAATACATATATATATATATATATATTTGTTTTCCTTATACTCTTTTAGAGTTTAATATATATATTTTATATTTTCTCAATTCATCAATTTCTTATTTTGTCATTTAGATATTTTCCCCTATTATTTAAATTCTATAAATATTCTCAATTTTCGATTCTTCGCTTCCGCATTATTCCGCTATATTCCTAACACCCTTGGCTAGCTCTGGTCAGATAGTGAAGAGTAGGGCGACTTGGTGGCTAACCCCTATTTCAAGGACTATCAATCGGATGAGGACGTGTTAGCTTAGCTTCTATCAATTTGTATTTGTCTAGCAATTCTTAGTGGAGCTTCATTGGAGTTAAGGAGAAGTGTGGAGTAAGAATGTTTCCTAATCACTATAAAAATATTAATATCATTTACTTTATGCACCTTATTTTCTTATCATCTGCAAACTAACCCCATACTTTGACACACACTCAAAACATGACTAAAACTTTAAATCGCCTCACACCCACTAGTCCAACTAAGAGGCGCTGGACAGCTACCGCCCATGCCATGGCTTGGGGAACCTGGCGGTCCCTCTCGCTAGTCCAGCGATGACTACTGGTGGCCGGTCATAACCCTTTAGTGGTGGTCATGATCCATTTTTATAGGCTTTCCTACCCACTTCTTCCAAACCCAATATAACAATGACTCCCTACTTGTGGGTTTGCGCAAATTATGCCATGGAATCGTGTTCACCGAGAATGGTGAACACAAGGCAAAACGACGTCGTTTTTAGGCAAAAAAAAAATAATTTCGCGGATGTGGAGTTAACGGCGCGCGTTTGATCAAATTATGAATTTTCTGTTATGAGATTATGAATTTTATGAAAATTCATAATCTCATAACAGAAAATTCATAATCGCATAACAGAAAATTCATAATCTCACAACTGAAAATTCATAATCTCACAACTGAAAATTCATAATCTCATAACAGAAAATTCATAATCTTATAACAGAAAATTCATAATCTCATGGTTCCAAAGTGAATGTGTAGGCATGGTTCCAAAGTGAATGTGCAGGCATGGATTCATAATTTATGAATGTCCGTGATTTCGGACGGGAATATGTAGGCATGGTTCCAAAGTGAATGTGCAGGCATGAATTCATAATTTATGAATGTCCGAAATTATGAATGTAATGAAAATTCATAATCTCATAACAGAAAATTCATAATCGCATAACAGAAAATTCATAATCTCATAACTGAAAATTCATAATCTTATAACAGAAAATTCATAATCTTATAATAGAAAATTCATAATCTCATGGTTCCAAAGTGAATGTGTAGGCATGGTTCCAAAGTGAATGTGCAGGCATGCATTCATAATTTATGAATGTCCGTGATTTCGGACGGGAATGTGTAGGCATGGTTCCAAAGTGAATGTGCAGGCATGAATTCATAATTTATGAATGTCCGAAATCTTTGTTCACCTCAAATTAAAGTGAAACCGCAAAATGTGAAAATAAAGAAGAAAAGGCACGCAATTAATTAAGAAAAAAAAAGATAACGGTGTACTAACACCGTTGGAACCATGTTCACCATGAATGGTGAACACGGTTCCATGGCATAACGTCCCGTGGGTTTGCCTACCTTCCTCCTTCCAAACCCATCATCACCCGCTCCTCATAGTGGGCCTTCAACCCACTCCTTCTAAGCCCAATATCACCTCACCTCCTAGTGGATTTACCTATCCCCTCATTCCAAGCTTAACATCCTTACCCTCTTCTTTTGGGCCTTCCTTCATCCCTTCTAATCCAATAGTCTTAAGGCCGAAGACCCCAAGCAGGGACGGAGTCATAAATTCGGTTGAAGGGGGGTGAAGCAGTAGGGTTGGATTCAGAAAATTTTTCCAGTAAAAGCGAAACAAAAGAATAGGGTGATGCATAAGCCAATTTGGACTAGGCTACTGATAAGTCTCTGCTACCATTTGACGTTTGTGATGAAAACCTGCAAAAAACAATCCTCTTGTTTCACTTATACAAATAGCGACCCCATGTTCATGGCCGAGTAAAGCTATAGCTTTGGCAGTTTCAGTGGTTAAGTTGAAAGAAATTATGTTCCAATTCCAGTCAGTGCCTTGAAAGTTGTTGTTGCACCAGTTGAGACTACCACTCACAAACACAGCAATTCCTGGATTAACAAACCCAGTAGTACTAAGCCCTCTTTCACTTCTCTTCCATGACCCATGCTTAAAATTGTACACCATAACAACATTCTCATCAATATACTTAGCACAATAGGCATAAACAACCTTGTAGTCGTCATTATACTCGTCGTATCCAAACCCAAAAATGCCCATGTAGCCCAACATCCAGACATCTGGGATTCTCTTGATGTTTCTATTCGGTGAAGGGTTCCAAATGATTATTCTATACGGTTTAGCACGGAAACAAAAAAAGCCCATTGCAAGAACCCAAAAATTCGAAACCATCTTCATGGGTAAAGATTGAGCGGTCATATGTAATAAATTTGCGAAATGATGATTGCTTGTTTTCTGTAATAGAAAACAAGGACGTATGACTAATAAACAAATTTAACCTGCTATATATATGTCATGACCTTATTATCCTTTTTCGACTGAAAATGTAGGTGCAATTTGACAAATTCTGGAGACGAGATAAAATCACGCCAATCTTTTGAAACACACCTAAATTGCAGAAGAGACCTCACAGGCAGCCTTTTAAGGATTTCTGTGATAATATCTTGATTCAAATTTAGTTGTGGCATATGGCGCTTCCGCTTAGGAGTAGGGATTGACATCTTGATTGTGTGTCTTGGATTAAACTTCCTTAGCTTTTGTTATCTGAAAATAGAAAGAAAACAAATTATATATTTATACCAAACTCCGATCCTTCCCTCTATCCACAAGAAATTTGAATGTCAGTACAAAAGAAATAAAAGCCATACCAATTACAAAAAGATTCCAATAAATATTGCTAGTGTTTCATCATTGATTAATTTCAGTATGTATATTATTATAGAATTAATTAATTTTTTAACTAATTATCTATAAGAATAAATGAATGTTTAATTTTTAATCAACTGCGAATAAGAATTTTAAAAAATAAAATTATTCACGCGTAGCTATTTTCCACTATCTCTACCTACTATCCATCATCCCCTTTATCAGATTCATATTTTTTTCCTGTCTACTAACCCAGTGAGTCAGCGTGATTTACATCCTCCCACATGCTCTGTCGGGTCGGAGTGTAGGGCCGGGGGCCCTTAGGGTTGGGGATTCAGCCTTTTGGGGTAAGATTCATATTTCTTTTACTTGATTTACTATTATTTCTAACTTTATCCCATCTATCTAACCACAAGGCCATAATAACGTACATAGTTACAATACTTTTATCAATTGTCACTACATATTTATTGCTTTATGAAGAAAAAAAATTAGTGACAATTAGTTTCATATTTTATACACTGATAAATAAATAGATTTGATCACATTTAATAGCTTTCTAATGAGAATGAAAACTTCTGAATTTTTTTTAGAAGTAGTATATATATATATATATATAGAGAGAGAGAGAGAGAGAGAGAGTAGGGTTCCAATGCGAACACTTGCTTAGGTGAGAACGTGAGAACAAATTGTGTGCATCAATCTAATAATTTTTAATGGTCAAGATTAGATTAAGTGTGTGCGAATACAAATTAAATGTGTGCAAACGCACTTAATCGCGTTTGCACACATTTAATTCATGTTCGCACACACTTAATCTAATCTAGACAATTTTAAAATATTAGATGAGTACACATGATTTGTTCTCACGTTCTCACCTAAGCAAGGTGTTCTCATATGATCCTAAATATATATATATATATATATATATATATATATATATATATATATATATATATATATATATATATATATATATATATATATATATAAAGATAAAGAGAGATAAAGAGAGAGATAGAGATAGTGAGAATTGTATTAAAATAGCCCAAAAGCTATTTGAATTTTGGTAGTGTTTTTTTTTTTTCTCTCTCTCCCTCTCTTACATTTAATTGCGGACAAGTTTGTAAATGCGGGTGTATTAATTAACCAAAATTTAGGAAAAATAGTAATTGTACTCAACAAAATATGTTTCAAAATCAATTTGTCCATGTTTTCCAAATTTCAATTTCTTCACCAAAAAAAAACATTTTTTTTTTTTTTTGCGGTTATTCAAATGGACAACATACATCTACACTTGTAAAAAAAAATTCAAGTCTTATACCTAGCAAATGGGATGAGACTATAGATTACCTTCTCAATCTAAGGAGTTTCGATGACAATTGAAGAGATCGGGTTGATAGATGTATAGAAATCGTTTCTCCGAATCGAGAGACGAGAGTCAAAAGATCTAGAGATTGAGAGCGAGAGAGAAGATTAAATTGAGAGGAGACTTGAGAGAGAGGATGGTATAGGGGGAAATGTTAAAGAGTATATAAAGGGTTAGGGTTTAGACATTTGGACCAGAGGAAATTGGGTTGGCCGACGAAAATCAATTCCATTTAGAGAATTGGGCTTATTTGTTTTGCATTTAGAAAAGGTAATGTGTATAAATAATGGAAATATATGAAATGGAAATGGAATTTTAACAAAGAGGATTTTGGTGCTAATAGAGAGAGATCGGGATGGTAGATGGGGAAAATGGTAACGAGCATAAAGGGTTAGGGTTTAAACATTTGGAGTTAGAGGAAATTAGGTGGGCCGACAAAAAAGAAAAAATCCATTCAAAAGTGTTGGTCCCGGTAGGGTTATAACGAGAGTCTAGAGGGGGGGGGGGTGAATAGACTCTTTTCGGATTTTGCCAAATAACAACCTTTCAGTGTTACAGCGCAGCGGAAATATTAGATTCGTTTTAATTGCTTTGCACAGTTTGATGATTTAATGAAACATTCGGTTTGAGCGCGAATGATGATATGATGTAGAAAGTAAATCGTGAAAATAAAGAGATAAGGAGAAGAGAGTTTTTATAGTGGTTCAGCCAACGTCTTCTTCAGAGTTGAGGTTGGTAGAAAATGATTTCTGATTTCTCCAACATGGTGAAGTCTTGACTGAATGAAGGATGATCGCTTTGTATAAGATGCAAGACTTCTTCAAGGTGGAAGATGAGAAATAATGGGCTTCTTCAAATATCTTCACGCCTTGACACTGGTTCGCAAAAGCTTGGTGAGAACTGAGATTGTTTAAGCGCTTTTGCTTGATAGAATTATCGAGTGAAAAGAACCAGCACCTTCTTAGTTGATGAAGGTGGGTTTATATAGGTGAGGGAAATATCATCCGTTGGAGGGAGATGAAATTTCAAACCTATTATCCAGTGGGTAAGGACCGGGGATCTTGCTGCATTAAATGCTCCATTAATGTGGTTTTTACCATGTAGCCGTTGAGGGCATGGATAGCCTTAGGGTTTTTTCCTTTAGCTTCAGAAGAATGGTACAACTTCATTTAATGCTCCTTGGTATGCGTGTCCCACATGTTGAGGTCCTTTTGCTCCTAGGATGGTTAGTCAACTCAGACAGTAGTGACATTCTTCTAGTTTTTTAAGAGAATGAATGTCTTGATGAATCAAAAAAAAAACCTGCTCCTAGGCGGGCCTGGGTTTTACTTTCCCAACCAGCCCCACCCCAGGCCTGTGGGCTAGGCGGGCCCCCGACACTTTTTTTTTTTTTTTTTTTTTTTGACTCTTAAGTTGTTAGCTTGATACTTTGTTAAGTTTTACCATTTGTACACTCTAAAAATAATTAAAATAATTTGTTACATAACTAATATAAGACATATTTCACCAAACATTAGACATTATATAAAACATAACAATAATTATAAAGTCCACATTCTAAAATTTTAGAATATTAAACTAGGGTTATGGTTATCACTTATTAGGTCATAATTAGATTTTATAAAATATTACTAGTTTTTTTTAAGCGCTTTGCGCGAATGTGATAATGCACAATGATTATTTTTAAATAAGTATTTCGAAGTATATCAATCAATATTATATAGGAGATGTTTATGCATAGGTAAATAAATATTGAATTTGATTTTTTAAATTGGTAATTTAAAGTATATATTAATTCAAGATAATATATGAGAGATTGATTATAATTGTCACTAAAATAAATGTTTGCAACTTTGTAATAACGTTAGTCTAAATACTTAGTCTTAAAGCGATAGTTTAAATAAATACTACTTTTGGTTTAAATTTTTCTAATTCTTCTTAATTCTCTTTTGGTAGCATTGTCGTTGTTTTCATCTTCAGTACATGTCTTCTCTTTTTTTTATGGATAGTGTGTCATGTGCAATTAGGTTACTGGTAGCAGCATATATTGATTCATCATGCAATGAGATTATGGTGTAGGAAGCTTTATATTTGCCTTGTTGTGTATATGACTGAGATTTTAGTTGTAATATGAACTCTTTATCTTACAAAGACATATTGATATTTAGTAGTGGTAGTTTTTCCTCTACATGTTTCATCTATTGTGAGATGTATGTTGTAGGTTATCACGTGAAAGTATTGAACAAAATATTAATATTTATTATATTTGTATAAAATATTTGGTAAATAAATACATATAACATGTTTTGTATTATAACTTTGATATTTAATTACAAGATAATGTAAAAAAGAAGACAATGGACAATGTAGTGAATATAATAAATTAATAAATTTGAAGGTAAGAAATCTTTGAATTGTAGAAAATAAAGATAATATAACTAATAAAATTATATTTCTTTTAAATTTTTCTATAATGAATATTTTTTTTAAATAAGCCATTATAGACATCTAATTCTAAATTAATTAAATGCATATGTATTATTTTTTGTTGTAGCTACTATTTTATTTAATTTAATAAGAGTAATAAAATGTCGTACATACTTTTCATCAACAATAATGAAATCAATGATTTTTATTTTTTTTTTAATTTTCATTCCTTGTTGAGACAATTTGTTTTGAGAGTTTGTCAATGACAATTGCTACAATTGTTGTCAATAGAGGATGATAATAAATAATTCAAAATATATGGTTACAATAGATATTGTTATAATGATATAGTAAAAGTTAACTTACAAATTTCTTTAGAGGTTTTCATGCATTGATAAAATTTTAATGTGTAAACTTGTTCAATTGGAGCTAGTAGGATGCATGTTAACATTGTCAATTATTTGGAAAATGATCCTACCGTTTTAGAGTCTATGTGTAATTGTATTTATGATCAACAACTTTGTAGTTAGGCACCCAGGGATGACAAATGATGTAAGAACAATTTTGTCCAATAAAAAAATAATAGTATAATATTTGTAAAGTAATGTACAATTGTACCATTATAAAAAAAATACAAAAAATAGTAATACCATAATGACCTAAATCATTCCAATAATGCAAAAGCATAATTGAAATATTTAAGTTTTGTCCTAAATAATAATAATAATAA